CCTCATAACCTTACTCTTTCCCGTATTCCCCTTTTAATTTTCTTCTTTTGCAACCCTACCAAATTCATCCACCAATCTCTGCAACTTCTCTTCAGGAATTCCCAAGAGACAGTGTCATCAGCAAAGAGCAAACTGTGACAACTTCCACTTTATGTGTGATTCTTTTCTTTTAACTCCACGCCTCTTGCCAAGACCCTCGCATTTACTTCTCTTACAACCCCATCTATAAATATATTAAACAACCACGGTGACATCACACATCCTTGTCTAAGGCCTACTTTTACTGGGAAATAATTTCCCTCTTTCCTACATACTCTAACTTGAGCCTCACTATCCTCGTAAAAACTCTTCACTGCTTTCAGTAACCTACCTCCTACACCATACACCTGCAACATCTGCCACATTGCCCCCCTATCCACCCTGTCATATGCCTTTTCCAAATCCATAAATGCCACAAAGACCTCTTTAGCCTTATCTAAATACTGTTCACTTATATGTTTCACTGTAAACACTGGTCCACACACCCCCTACCTTTCCTAAAGCCTCCTTGTTCATCTGCTATCCTATTCTCCGTCTTACTCTTAATTCTTTCAATAATAACTCTACCATACACTTTGCCAGGTATACTCAACAGACTTATCCCCCTATAATTTTTGCACTCTCTTTTATCACCTTTGCCTTTATACAAAGGAACTATGCATGCTCTCTGCCAATCCCTAGGTACCTTACCCTCTTCCATACATTTATTAAATAATTGCACCAACCACTCCAAAACTATATCCCCACCTGCTTTTAACATTTCTATCTTTATCCCATCAATCCCGGCTGCCTTACCCCCTTTCATTTTACCTACTGCCTCACGAACTTCCCCCACACTCACAACTGGCTCTTTCTCACTCCTACAAGATGTTTTTCCTCCTTGCCCTATTCACGAAATCACAGTTTCCCTATCTTCATCAACATTTAACAATTCCTCAAAATATTCCCTCCATCTTCCCAATACCTCTAACTCTCCATTTAATAACTCTCCTCTCCTATTTTTAACTGATAAAATCCATTTGTTCTCTAGGCTTCCTTAACTTGTTAATCTCACTCCAAAACTTTTTCTTATTTTCAACAAAATTTGTTGATAACATCTCACCCACTCTCTCATTTGCTCTCTTTTACATTGCTTCACCACTCTCTTAACCTCTCTCTTTTTCTCCATATACTCTTTCCTCCTTGCATCACTTCTACTTTGTAAAAACTTCTCATATGCTAACTTTTTTCTCCCTTACTACTCTCTTTACATCATCATTCCACCAATTGCTCCTCTTCCCTCCGCACCCACTTTCCTGTAACCACAAACTTCTGCTGAACATTCTAACACTACATTTTTAAACCTACCCCATACCTCTTCGACCCCATTGCCTATGCTCTCATTAGCCCATCTATCCTCCTATAGCTGTTTATATCTTACCCTAACTGCCTCCTCTTTTAGTTTATAAACCTTCACCTCTCTCTTCCCTGATTCTTCTATTCTCCTTGTATCCCATCTACCTTTTACTCTCAGTGTAGCTACAACTAGAAAGTGATCTGATATATCTGTGGCCCCTCTATAAACATGTACATCCTGAAGTCTACTCAACATTCTTTTATCTACTAATACATAATCCAACAAACTACTGTCATTTCGCCCTACATCATATCTTGTATACTTATTTATCCTCTTTTTCTTAAAATATGTATTACCTATAACTAAACCCCTTTCTATACAAAGTTCAATCAAAGGGCTCCCATTATCATTTACACCTGGCACCCCAAACTTACCTACCACACCCTCTCTAAAAGTTTCTCCTGCTTTAGCATTCAGGTCCCCTACCACAATTACTCTCTCACTTGGTTCAAAGGCTCCTATACATTCACTTAACATCTCCCAAAATCTCTCTCTCTCCTCTACATTCCTCTCTTCTCCAGGTGCATACACGCTTATTATGACCCACTTTTCGCATCCAACCTTTACTTTAATCCACATAATTCTTGAATTTACACATTCATATTCTCTTTTCTCCTTCCATAACTGATCCTTCAACATTACTGCTACCCCTTCCTTTGCTCTTACTCTCTCAGATACTCCAGATTTAATCCCATTTATTTCCCCCCACCGAAACTCCCCTACCCCCTTCAGCTTTGTTTCGCTTAGGGCCAGGACATCCAACTTCTTTTCATTCATAACATCAGCAATCATCTGTTTCTTGTCATCCACACTACATCCACGCACATTCAAGCATCCCAAGTTTATGAAGTTTTTCTTCTTCTCTTTTTTAGTAAATGTCTACAGGAGAAGGGGTTACTAGCCCATTGCTCCCGGCATTTTAGTCGCCTCATACGACACGCATGGCTTACCGAGGAAAGATTCTTTTCCACTTCCCATGGACAATAGAAGAAATAAAGAAGAACAAGAGCTATTTAGAAAAAGGAGAAAAACCTAGATGTATGTATATATATATATATGCATGTGCGTGTCTGTGAAGTGTGACCAAAGTGTAAGTAGGAGTAGCAAGATATCCCTGTTATCTAGCGTGTTTATGAGACAGAAAAAGAAACCAGCAATCCTACCATCATGCAAAACAGTTACAGGTTTTCTGTTTCACAGTCATCTGGCTAGGACGGTAGTACTTCCCTGGGTGGTTGCTGTCTACCAACCTACTACCTATAACTAACTCAGGTATCAACTCTTTTCAGTCATGTAGTTGGGAAATATAGTGCCTGCACTTTGAAGGAGGGTAGGGGATATTTGCAGTTTTGAACTGTATTATTAGCACCCCTCTGTCAAGATAGTGATGGAGCGAGTGATGGTGAAAGTGTCTTATTTTTTGGGTCACCGTACCTCGGGTATTGGGATGCACCACAGCCTTGAAAAAACATGCTTGGTTATGGTTTATTAGCTAAAAATTGGAAAAAAAAAATGTTGAATTTTTGTGCTTGACAATGGATTCAAAATGGAGGGGAAGTGTTATATAGGAGAGGCTGGGGAGTAATTAACCCGTAAACGGTCCAGGCAGATCTCCGTTTACATGTGTAGTGCTACAAAAATAGATCTACATTTTTTTTTACATATTTTCAAATATAACAAAAAAAAAGTAGATCTACTTTTTTTACATACTTTCAAATGTTGAAAAAACGTATATATACGTTTGGACCGTTTACGGGTTAATGAACAGGGGGACAGTGCTTTAGTGGCTGTAATTCCTTCTTTTTTTTTTTAATTTTTAAGTTGGATTTAGTAGAAAATAGTCTTTTAATGGATAAAAAGCTGAATTTGGATACTAGCAGATTGTTTTTGATGGATATACAAATTTTTTATTTCTTTCAAGGTTACAGTGTGTATTTCCCTTTTTTAAAAGCGTTAAGGGCAAAGAGAGCCACTAAAATGTCTGAACATTTCGGGGGACTAACAATGCTTACAGAGTACTTAAAACTAGGCTTAGGTTATGGAGTGGTAAATTTTAATTATTCATTATTTTACATTGGTACAATATAGAGCTAGCCAAATTATTATAATTAATAAGATTTATAGTAGAGAAGTATTAAGAAAAAAAATAACAGTACTGAAGGCATACTAGCAAAATAATCAGGAATTGAGGCCTACAATAGGCTTCAAAATGAGTGAAATCAGAACGTAAGCAAGATATCATTTATGAAGGGATTCAGGGTAAACCTGTTAGTTGGATTTGAATCCTGGAGGTGGGAAGTACAGGGGTGGGGATGTTGCAGTTCCGAGCATTATATGAACTGTGATATCAGCGTTCTTCTGGCTAGGAGACGGCTGGTGTTTAAAAACAGAGTGAGAGAGTGAGTGAGTGAGAAAGAGAATCAGAGATGCATTAACATGCCACCTGCTATTCCCCACCCCACTCCCCATCTATTCTGTGGTTCACCTTGTCTTTCAACTGTAGGTACATTCACTCTCAAATATCTGAATACATTCACTGTCTACATACTGCCTCCAATCCGAGAGAATTTTCCAGTAACATTAGGCCTTAGATAGGGATGTGGTATATCACTTGTTGCTTTTACTGAATTTTTTAGTTAATTTTTAATACTTTTTTTTTAGATTAGTGCTATTTATTTGTGATATATGGCAGTTTGGTGCCTATTTAGTACTCTCCTGATTTTTATATTGTATAGAGATTATGATTGAATTTTTTTATTTTTTTATTCTTTTTCCAGCCCGATTCATTTTGTATATGATAATTTGGTGCATGTGTGGTTTGCTCATATTTTTGATGAACATTAGTCAAGAAATGTTTCAATGTCTCTGAGCATTACTGATGTTTACATATGATAATGGGTTCACTTTATGTGCAGTGGATCAGGGAGACGACCGACTTGTTGAAAAAAAAAAAAAAAAATTAAGAAAAAGATCAGTGGAAATAAATACAGTGGTACCACTGCTCCCAACTTGACCATTTATGTAAGTGTATTATTGTAAGTGCTTTTGTAAGTGTATTTTTTGGGGTCTGAAATGGACTAATCTAATTTACATTATTCCTTATGGGAACAAATTCGTTTGGTAACGGCACTTGAACAGCCTTCTGGAGCGAAGAAAGTTCGAAACTCTGGGTACCACTGTATATATTTGCTGAAATAAGGTGGGCAAACTTGTGTGATATTATTGGAGTTAAAATGTCTCTTTATTTATATTATACATTGTATGCAAAACAACCACTCTATTCTTTCAGAGTGGTTGTTTTGCATATTCTGAAATCACCTGTTTACTGTGATCTTATTGCACTATACATTGTATATTAATATTTAATAAACAGAGCATGTGTACCAGTGATGGTTACCAAAGATATGTACAGTGACATTACAGTGATGTCAAACTGATATCACAGTGGCATCTTTGAGCCTGGTTACTTCTTGCCTGCTACCATAACCACCTGTCTTTTTCTTATACGCAATATATGCACTTTGAGCAGAAAGAAACGGTAAATCATTGTTTGTGTATCTTAAAGGATGGAGATGCTGTACAAGAACTGGAAGAATGCCGTCTGAAAGTCAGTCACATTCTGCAGTCCTCTCTCATGTCAGATGGGTCCCGGCGCTTCGCAACACCTCCCCAGCAGATTGCAGTGTATAATAAGCGCATACAGCCAGTTCAAGATGAGGATGGAGATCCCTCGCCTCCCTGGGTGTACACTGACAAAGAATACATAGTTGGTGATGAGGTAGATAGTTTGCATATCTTATTATTTTATTAATTAAAAATTAATTTAGTTATTAATTCAGAATTCATTTATTTACAGTATATCTTTTAATGCATAAATTTTCCTTTTCTTAACTGTAGTCATCTGGAAGGTTACAGAAATGCTATTAAGATACAGATTTTAGAATGCTGCTCAATCTTTCTCTTTTATGCAGTCCGGTAAATTTTATGGAGTTGTTACATTGAGGCAAATGACCTGAATTTTTAATTATATATTGCAAAAAATATTATCAAGAGAGTTAAGGGATAGACAGAAATAGGACTGTACGGGGGTAAAAAAAAAAGGAGAATTTGGGTAGGGAAGGGAAAGGGAAGTGTTGATCAGAGGATTTTTGTTAAAAGCATACATTTCAACACTATGAAGAATATGGTAAGAAGCTGTTTATTGCATGCATTGATTTGAAAAAAGACACACACTGTAAGTGGTATGTTGTAAAAGCTTTAAAGAAAAAGTTTTTTAAGGAGAGCAAAACTTTATTGAACATTTAGAGAGGATGGAGCACAATAGGATGACTAGGAGGGTGTTTAAATCTGAAGTGGAGGGAAGAAGGGAGTAGGGATTTTCCCAGGAAAAGTTGGAGGGAGGGGGTAAAGGAGGTTTTGAGTACTGGGGGTTTGGATCATTGAAAAGAGTAAGGTGACGAAGGTAACAAAAACATTAAATAATGAAAGATAGGATATCAGATTGGAGGGAGGGAGTTTGGAGGAAGTGAATGTGTTCAGATGTTTGTGAGTGGACTTGTCAGCAGATTGATCTAAGAGAGATAAGGTCAACCATAGTATTGATAAAGGAGAAAAGGTGAGTGGTGCACTGAGGTGTCTGTGGAGACAAAGAACATTATACATGGGAGCAAAAAGGGAATGTATGAGAGTATAGTGGTACCAATGCTCTTATATGGGTGTGAAGCATGGGTTGTGAATGTTGCAGTAAGGAGGAGGCTGGAGCAGTGGAGACGTTGTGTCTGAGGGCATTGTATGATGTGAATATTATGCAGAAAATTCTTAGCTTGGAGATTAGAAAGAGGTGCAGGGTTACTAAAAGTATTATCCAGAGGGCTGAAGAGGGGTTGTTGAGGTGGTTTGTATACTTAGAGAGGATGGAACAAAATAGGATGACTTGGAGGGTGAATAAATCTGTAGTGGAGGGAAAGCAAGGTAGAGGTAGTCTTAGGAAAAGTTGGAGTAGGTGGTTAAGGAGGTTTTATGTGTGAGGCTTAGACATCCCCCAATGGTGTGAAGTTTTTGGAACAAGAGGAATGGGGGCAAGTTTTTTTTTTAAATGACTTAAAGTGCTGGTGGAGGGGTGAGCAAGGTAATATTTTAAAAAGGATTCAAGGAAACTGAGGGAAAGGGTTTTCCTCCTTATTGGGGAAAAAGCTAATTTGTTAAAATTAAAAGAAATAAATAACAAAAAAAGGGAACCCAATCCGTGACTGGAACAATACACAAATAACCCCGGGGAAAATAAAAGGAAGGGAAACTTACGACGACCCTTTCGGTCCGACCCGGGACCATTGAAAAAAAGTCCAAAAACTAACCAGAGGGGGAGCAGGCCGGGTATATATAAAAGGGAGGGGGAGGTGGTGGGATAGTAGTAGACAAGAATTGTTTTATTGTGGACTTTTTTCCCAAAGGTCCAAGTCGGACCGAAACGTCGTCGTAAGGCTTTTCTTTTTTTAAATTTTCGGGGTTTTTTGTTTTTGAAAGAAAAAAGTCCATCTAAAACCCAATTTTTTTTTGAATCCCTTCAAAAAATGTTTATTTGTCACCAAATCCAAGACCATAAAAGGGCATTAAAAAAAATTTTTTTTTTTCCCACTCATTGATGTAGCAACTCTTCACACAAAAGCTTGTGTGAAGCTCATGTTTGGGGTTCTTTGGGTTTTTTCCCTTTTTATTTGAAAATGAAGGGTTTTTTGAAAGCCCCCTTTGGGGTACACTATTCTTTAAAATTTCCCCCTGCTTTTTTTTTGAGTTTTTTGCTCTATTTTTTTGTGCCTCCATTCTTTAAGGACAAATTTTGGTGTCAGCCCCTTTAACTTCAAAAAAAATTTTTCAGTCGGGGATACCTTAAAAAAACATGGAAAAAAAATGATTATAAAATAATGGGTTTGGGGCCTTCCCGGTTAAAAAAATGGGGTACAACCAGGGTTATCTCTGGGGGCCCACCAGGAAAAACTACATAATGCCCCTTTAAAATTTTTAAAGAAATTAAAAAACCCATTTTTCAATTACAAAAACCCTGGCCCCCCAAAAGGGAAGGACCCATATAATTTTGCCCGGCTTTTTCCCTCATTTAAAAAGGGGGCATTTTCCCGGCTTTTTGGGGAACTGAGTAATGTGAATTGAGCCAACAAAAACCACATTCTTCAGAGCAGGGAATCTTCTTAAAATTTTTGTTTATTCCCCAGTGATTGCATAAGAGTGAATGTGTTTCACCCCATAGAAAAAATATAAAATTGGCATTGCAAAAAAAATGTTTTCCAAATATAGTTAACCGCAAAAAACGAGGGATTAAATGGGACATTGTTTTCACAAATTTGGGCAGAGGAGGGGAACTAGGGAAAAAAGAAAAAAGATTTTGGGGCCCAGTTTTTCAAGATTTTTTGGGAACTAAAACAAATGGGTTTTATTTTAAAATAATTGGAGGAAGGCATAGACAAACCCGCAAAGAGGGTTTATCAAGAACCCCTAACACATAATAAAAAAACGGGGGACCAACAAGAAGCCTTTTTAAGTGCAGTGGTCCCTTTTTTCAATGGTCTTTATTTTTGATAAAGTTGATTTCAATATTCCTTTTAAGGGGAATTTTTGTTTTGAGTTGCAATGAAAAAAAATTTGGGGCACGATATGTGTACATTTGGGGATGGTGGTGGTTCCGTACGTTTTTTACCCACGAGTGGCCAGCATTTAAAACCTCGTTGGTCCCGGCCCCCGATCCCCAGGAGGCTTGTCCCTGGACCGGGCCCGCAGGGGGGTTGTCCCCAGAATGCCCTCCATGTAGAAATCCAGGTAGGTAGAACCAAAATCTACCCCGCCCTGCCCGCCCCCGGCCCCGCCCTGCCATGCCAGCCCTTTCCACTTCTCATAAAGGGAAAAAAACCCCATGGGAAAAATAAGCTTTTCTTTTTTTTTGTAGGCTGCCAATGTGGGCCCGGATATTTTAAGCTCAGGGCCCATCCTTGTTTATGACTCAAAAACTCCAGTGTGGGTTTTTAAAAACAAAAAGTATCCAAGAGCAGGTGGGTTGTGCTCTGATGTTTTTGGAACAAATTACCTTAAAACCAGTGTTTTTGGGTTTAAGTTAGGGTAGTTTTTTAGGGGATGGTTAAAAATTTTTCCAGAATGAATTAATATCCTAACTCACTATACCCAACATGTAATTACCTTCAAAGTACTGGGTATGGCTTTTTTGGGCCACCCCCAGGGGGTTTAAGACCCACCCTTAAAAATAAATTTTATTTTTCTAACACACAGTTAAAAAACTGGGGGACAAACAGAAGCTTTTATCAAAATTGTGACCCCTGAATGGGTCACAATGTATATAATGTATATTACCTGTTCATATAATTTTATATTGCTTATATTTGCGATATTAGCTAAATCGTAAATATATTGCTTTATATTATTATTTGACTTAGTTATATTATTAGGTAGGATGTAAAATTTATATATTCAGTGCTTATAGTTCGAGTGTTAAGTAGCTGACAGCATTGTCTAACTACTGTAGATTTTACTTTGCTTGTTTCGCTGCCGGCTTCTGTGTTGCTGGGCAGCAGCAGTCCACAGAGATTCACGTGATCAAGGTGGGGTGATCACACCTCACCAGGAGTGAGTGTCTGCGTGGCCTGCGCTTTCTTGTCTGTTTGACGTTGCTTCTAACAAGATGTCTCTCTCCAGCTTCCTTGCTGGCCCTTGTTGGAAGATCGTCTCTGTTGCTTTCTTGTTGTTGGTTCTGTATAACTCTGTTCACTGAACATAGCCTAGACTTAGTGATTTTTGATGTACTGAGGTTGTGTGTCTCATAGGCACTCTGAGAAACTCAGGTCCTGAGCTGTAGCTTCTGACCTAATTTGTACTGGTATCTGTGTACTGTCACAGTCGGGGATTTTCTAATGCTGAACTTAGATTCAGTAGTATGGGAGTTTTGTGACTTTTGTGGAGGATCTGCAGATGGTCCCTACTTAGCGTCATTAAATTATCTACTTGTTCCTGATTCTGTGTCGCTGTTGCTTGTTATATTGCTGTTTGGCTTATCAGTCATTTTATTGTTCAAGCAAGCTGTTCTGATTGCCAGGTTGGTCAAGATTTAGTTTATGTGGGGACTTTTAGTCAGTACGGGTTAAGTCAGCAAGTCTTGAACATAGCAACTATTTAGACACTTACAACCACACACAAACTTACTTGAAATTTTATTTGTATTAGTTATTAAATGCAAAAATTTACCAGACGATATTTAAAACCATAAAGATGGATTGTGCCTTCAGCACAATACTCGTAATGAGAAATGTGGGAATTTGCATCCTAATATATTAAATTGATTACATAATTTACTTTTGATTTTATACACCTAGACAACTTTATTGTTTTTTAATAATTTATTAAATTTTAATCTCTTAGTTAGTACCTACCATTGAAAATCCTAAAGCACTGTTAAATCTTACAAATTCAAGGGAAAATTGGGGACCAGGATACGATTACTGTTTAAAAAACCCTAACGGGCTGGTGCTAAAAAGGGCAGTTTTTTCTAGATTAAACTGGAGATCTCATGCTTTTAAAAATCACTTTTTTTTTGTAACAAAGGGGGACCTGTCGGGGGGTTTTTTGACCCAAAGGGTGTTGGAAAAATTGCTATTTTGACACACTAGTAACTCAGGTCAAACACTTTGATATTTTCGTAATAAAGACTTTGATTTTAGTCTTGACAACATAATACAGGGAGTATGTACGGGAAAGGGCCCCCCCTTACACGCGGGTTAGGTTCCGGGCACCGCC